ACATAAATGTCTTATCCATCGAGAGTAAGAAAGAAAATAGATAATGAAACAACTTAAGACAAACGGACACACTAATAAAGAACGATATTTTGTTTGTCTCTCTCTATATGCTTGTGTGTACTTATTTTGAACCATGACAACCAGATTCATATTTAAACATGTCCGATTTGTCAGGTCTGATTTCATCGCCCTGGGAGGTGATCGCAACGTGTGGCACTTTTTAGAAAATGAAAACCCCGAGGTTGATCCAAGACTTATAGACGGATCTATTCATGGATGCACGAAATCACAAGTCATCGTGACCGAAGATATGAGAGTTCTCATTCTGTCCTTTTGCGCCAACATTTCATCTTTCCAGATTATTTGCTCTCTCCCAAAAACCGTAACCAACGTCGGCTCAGCATAGTTGCAGTATAAACCACAGGCAGGTGGGTCCTGTGAGCATTGAACACATACACATGTGCTTGAGGAGGAAATCTGTGGAAGCGATTGCTTAGCAGCGCTAGCTGACGGTTGTGCTCGGTAAACTGGTAACCAGACAAATATATATATGTATATTTGTCTGGTTACCAGTTTACTGAGCACAACAAAGGTCCGTACACAGATACATACATCGACTATTTCATAGAAAATACCCAAAACTCCAACGAAGTTCAAATTAAATTCTTCGTAGATTGTTTAGACATTTAGATTTATATCAAACCTTAACCTCCCAAATATGCCCTTTAAATTAATGAGAATTAACAGCGTCTAAGATTTTGAATGAAACCTGCCCTCGTGGCATGTAATTTATTAGGGTTGTTGTAGCTTCTTCCTTTAATGTCGGTCTTCTCCCTCGACCCTTACCCATCTATATCTAGAGACAATACACGTTAAGTTTAAGCGATGTTTAGCCGACACACAGTGGGGTTAAGAATAAGGAATTGAAATGGTACATCTAACCCACTCATATCTTATCTTCTCTCCCACCTCACTTCCTCACTTCGTTAATTTTACATATGCTTGATGAGGTCCGTCAAAAACGTGTGAATTTCTTTTCATTTTTCATTTCAACCTTTGGAAGTAAAGTCTGATGATCCAGAGTCCTGTTAAAGGGGTTATGGTGAAATAACTTATTACATACATGGAACCTTAAAGTGGTCTGTTTTTTATTCATATATATATATATATATATATATATATATATATATATATATATATATATATATATATATATATGTATCTGTGTACGGACCTTTGTATTCGTGGGTGACTTTCTACTAGCTTGGTTAGCTAATCTGGCTCCATGATTCCCAGCCAACTTTAATCTGTAAAAATTTAAATGCAATGTCAATCACTATCTACTGTCCTCCTGATTACTCTTTTCTCTTCCTGACCTGTAACCTTTCCTGCTTTACTTTCGTGGGTGGGAAGATACCGATTTAAGAAAAATAATCCCTGATCTTCTTCCTTTATGTGCCGTGTCCCTTCAGAATATATGCGATCATGTCTCTCCACATCCTCCTGTCCCTTGTAGCTCTAAATATGTTTTGTCATTTTGTTATTTCTCCCGCACCCTGTTCTGCCATCCACTTTCTTAAGCCCGTTATATCATATATTGCTTTCTCTTGTCCAGCATTTCCTCTATCCACCCTGTTCGTAGCAAATTTTCCAAGCCTTCCTTTCTAATTACGTGTCCTAGAAATTTCAGCTGCCTCTTTCTGATGTTAAGTATGAGTTTCCTCTTTGTTTGCATCCTCTCCAAAACCTCATCGTTGGTCACATGTTCGGTTCATGGTATCCTTAGCATCCTTCTGTAGAGCAACACCTCCGTTGCCTCGAGACACTTCTTCACCCTTGAGGAGACCGTCCAATATTCACTACAGTAAATGAGGACAAATATCACTTAGCAGTTCAGCACACTTTTCTTTGTTACAAAAGAAATATTCCTGTCTCGTAATCCTCTGCCTAGCTTTTGGAATACGTTTTTGGCCATCCAAATACGTCTTCGGGTCTCAGCGTCGCACTAACCTTAAGTAGTACCTGGAACATACGCCTTCTCAGACACATTAGTGTTTCGCCGATAGTCCTGTTCACAAGCCTTCAGCGTATTTTGGACAGAAGTATGGGTTTACTCCTTCTTTATTGCTATACTCTAGGTTTCCAGTTACTTCTAAAGTCTTCTTATTCTCTTTCATTCCCAGTAATTTCTTGCGTCTTAGTGGCATTATTACCTTGCTTGGGTTGAAATGATTAAAAGACTTAATATGCTTAACAATCTTTATTTACTGTATATAAGCAAAAAGGATACATAATCTGGCATGATCACCATATAAGGTTATAGTGATTTTCCAAGCGTAGCTTAGATGTGGCACAAGGCCGAAAGTATGAGGCACCCAGTGAGAATCGAACTCACTACTTAGTAGTAATTGTTCTAGCAAGACAAGCTTTCTATTACACCACCTCGAGCTGCACTATGATTTTCTAAGCGTAGCTTAGTTGTGGCACAAGGCCGAACGTATGAGGCACCCAGTGAGAGTCGAACTCACTACTCAGTCGTAATTGATCTAGCAAGACAAGCTCTCTAACCATTACACCACGTCGAGGTGCCCACCATATAAGGTTATATAATCTGACATAATCACTATATATATATATATATATATATATATATATATATATATATATATATATATATATATATATATATATATATATATATATATATATACGTTTCACGCGACTTGCGATCGTCAGCAGACAAACTGTTATTGAGCGTTTTCCAATAATTACCGCGCATATATAATATATAAATAATATATATAATAATTACATATATATATATATTTAAATCTATATACATACATATTTTACACACACACACACACACTGAAAACCTCGCTATCTTTAGTTTCACTCACGAAAGGGCTTCAAGGTTTTATTTTAAATCTATTTAAAGCAAAGCAATAAAGCCACTAAGACGCAATCGGCTTACTGGAATTAAGAAGGCTGAAGATAACGATTGACATTGCATTTAATCATTTCATCCCAAGTAAGGCAATGAATCTACTAAGAAGCAAGGAGTTACTGAGGGTGAGAGAATATGAGAAAAAGAAAATATTATTAAGGAGAGAAAACAATAAAAGAACAGGAATTAAGAAGGCAGAAGATAATGATTGGCATTGCATTTAAATTTTTGTAGATCAAAGTAAGAAAACGAAATAGAGTTCCTTAAATGTAATAATAGCTAGCATAGAACTCACGGTTATATCTCGCCATTTCAGCTGTAAACTGATGAGACCTCTCCGCCAATTCAGTACTGCACTTAAATTCATAAAATCTAGGTATTATAGAGGAAACTTCGTCAGAACAATCACAAAGAAATTATCTGTAGAAAAAGGTATAGAGATACATAATAGATGCGGGAAAATGAATGAATCCGATATGCCAGGTGAGGACCAACGATATTGCAGATTTTTTTGTATTTTATCAAGAATCTCTAAATATACAGTAGAAGACCGAGACCAGATGATAGAATTTTAGAAAGTTCTGTTAATGTTTTTCAGTGTACGATGTAGTTGTTCGTTCAAAATCTATCGATATTATTCTTTCATTTGTTATGAATGACAAAACTATTTTCATAATATCTGCTGTCTTTTTTCAAAACTATTGACTTGTTCACTAAATCCGTTATTAATAGCAAATGTCTCTTTGATTTTGATTTCTTGGAGACAGCATAGGAAAGATCGAGCCAATAACTTCTGCTTTTCTTTACCAAATTCCTTAAAAACTGGAGGCGTTTACGAAGTTTAAAATTAGATGTTATTAACTTTTTAGACGCCATTACTTTCTTCGAGAAATTCCAAGCATTAAAGTTAAAAAAATATAAGTTCTTCATAAGCTTAACGTAAATGTCGTTTGTCAAACGCGTTTAGAATTAATTGAAATAAAATCTCTTTTCCTGATTAGCTGAAGGAAACAAAAGAAACGCTTTCCAAATGATCATATATGTGTATATATATATATATATATATATATATATATATATATATATATATATATATATATATAAAGAAAGAACAGTAATATATAATCCGGTGTTGTTATTGATATTTTTTTTATTTTTATTTTTACAAAACAGTGCTCCATGTCAATTTACAGAGCATGAATATTATAAATTAACTGATTTAAAATGTGTTTTTTCGCAACACAGTAATAACCATGTTTCAAAAATGGAAGCTAAAAACTTCGATTTAATTTTGTAATTCAATTAAAAGCATTAGTTCCATTTCATCTTCAAGCGAATATTGGAATAACTTATTTTTAAATTTACTGAGTTATAAACGCACACATAAAATTCATAATTCCCTGTTTCTAAGCATACAGAGAACACCAATCATTCAGACAAGAGGCGATAGCGTGCTCATTTTTATTAACAATTTTTGTATCAATTATGAGTTACGTTCGAAAAAGAGTTTAAGTTTAGGGAGGGTAGGGGGTGTATTTTTCAACGAACTTTGACATCCTTCAAATGCATGTCCTGCGGGATTTTCTTATTAACAGCAAAAAGTCTTTCGGCATCTTTTCCTACTTGTATATTAAAAAAAAATTGGGAATGTTTAGGTTAGAATACGTTTTATTTAACTACAATTTAAAAATATTTTCACTCATAATTACTAATCGACTATATTTCTTTTTAAAACCAGTAAATGTAATAGAATTACTTAAATTCTATAAAATTATTTTTTAATATCAAATATAAGTATGTGTATTATCAGGTCGGATTTTTTAATTTTATTTTTAAATATTATTTAAGGAAAACAGCTAAATCTCTATTTCTGTCCCGAACTCAGTCCATACTGATATATTCGTCTGCTGAAATAGCCTATTCCCCATATGAGGTGATTTTAGATTTTATTGTTGATTAATTATATTGCTCTGAAATAATAAATATATTGAGCTCTTTTTGTGGATCAGTTTTAATATTTTATATTATTACTAGGATCCACTTGGATTATATA